CCGCGGAAACAGCCCCCTGGTCGAGGCAGTTGATCCTATAGGCCGGAGACACGGGTGAGATGGGCTGAGACTGGCCGAGTCGGGATCATCGTGCATATTTGCGTCTCCACGCCATGGGCGCAGAGTGTTCATCACTGCGCTACCAACCCACCACAATTTTGACACGGTAACATGATGAGACAAACAAGGCAGCGCCACATGGCCCATGGGCTGTAAACTCGCCTTGTCGCCCTCGGGAATCCGGCTCCGTGCATGCTGAGTGGAACCGCTCAACCCATCAATCATCGTCTTGTGTGACTCCGTGCCGAGTCAGATTCGGGCGGGCAGGGGGGGCATTTCTTCTCATTCCTTTCATTTCGCCTGTATTTTTTTAGACGACTTCGTTCCGATTGGCCAACAGGGCTCGGTAAGAGAGCGGCTGCCTGGCGCAATGGCTGCCATAAAGCAGCACGTTTCCGTGTCCAGCCCACGTTGAACCATCGACGAAGCCATGGGGTGAGCTTTTTCGGCGCCGTCGTGTGTATACGCTTATCATGCTTTCTGTTCGTTCCCGACGCTTTCGAGTGCTTACCTTGGCAATAGTGGCACTGCTCATCCTGGCGATACTATACCAACGCGGCCCTCTCTCATCTAGCACTTGGCTTCCGACATGGCAGTCTGTACAGAGTCCAAAAACGCACAAACCCCAAACTCTACGCCCGAGCCTCGACTTGCCATCGGAATATACACCAAAGCCCTCGGATAGTCAGTGGTGCCAAGAACGTTTTGGCGTCAAGTTTCTCGAAAATGCGCGCGCATCCTCCGTCTCCTACTGCACTCCGAGCTCCCCGAGCTTCTCTTGTTTCTGGTCGACAACCACCGAGGAGCGACATGACGCCATGTGTCATGGACGAGGTGCCACATATGACGCTGGCGAGTCCAAGTTTCGACTCGGATGCCGGCTGCGCGACTTGTCGCCAGAAGAACTTGAGAAGGACACGCCGCGAGTCCCAGATAACCTGACGCAATACTGGTACGACACCGGGCCCGGGCAAGTCTTCAACAAGGCCGTGCTCCTCGATGCCAACTCTCGCATCCAGGGGTCCCGCACAACAAGCATCCTGGTAAAGAGAGAAGGGCCCGGCAATCTGTGGCACGTCCTGATGGAGTTGCTCAGCCTCTCGTGGACTCTCGACGTACTACAGATCAGCGCGGATCCGACCTCGCAACAGCCGTACCTATCACCCGCCGCGGCACCGTCCACGCAGGTCATATTCCTGGACGAATACGAAGACGGCCCATTTGTCGACATGTGGAGGCTCTTTGCCAAAATGCCCATCCGGCGCATCCACGAACTCAACGGCTCCGAACCCGCCACCGACATCATCATACCCTTTTCCGGCGGGAGCAACACGCTCTGGCAGGGGGACTGGGTCAAGCTCGACTGCCGCGAGTCGGCACTCGTCAAGGCCTTTGTTTCGCGTGTCTTGCATCTGTACGACGTGCCCACGCCTCCCCGGAGCAAGGCAGATGTCGTGGCCAAGTTTATCCGCCGGACGAATACCCGCAAACTCATCAACGAGACGGAGCTCATTGCGTCGGCTAAAAGGGCCGTTCCTCACTTGAATATAGAGATTGTCGATTTTGCTGAGTTTTCTTTTGCTGAGCAGCTCAAAATCGTCCGCGAGACGGACCTTCTCATAGGTGTGCATGGGGCTGGTCTCACGCACACCATGTTCTTGCCGCCGGGGTCTGCTGTCGTGGAGATTCTGCCCGGCGACTTTGCGCACATGGGCTTTCGGAATCTGGCGCAGCTGCTGGGCCACCGGTATCATCGTACCCATGCCAAGATGCATGGGGATGCTTCTGGAGATTCGCAGTGGCAGTTTGATGCGGTTGAGATGGAGGAGGACCAATTTGTTCGTTTGATTGACGGCGCGGTGCGAAGCTTGTATAATAACGGAATAAGGACGTACGACGCTGTATGAGTATTGGATCATCGGGGCTAAAAAGCATGCGGGAGCCTATAGACGGGTCTGGGAAGTGATGGGCCTTGGTGGACCATTGTCCTACTTGGACTGGCTTGTCCGGATTCATTGGAGATTGTTGAACGGGTTGGTGGAGTGGTATTCTCTACCCAGCAGCGTAAAGTTCCTTTTGTATGAGTCTGCGGACGGGCTTGCGGACCATGACGATGATGACACGCAGCTGATGGCAGTTTGCGTCGCAACTCTGGTTTTACAAGGGGAAGCATCCAGACTCGACGCTTTTTTCCACTACTGATGCTGAAAGCGCCATTTTCTAGGGTAAGGACTTTTCCGTTGAGGATGGGACGTTCTCCTCTAGCCTGGTTTACGAGTTGTGTAAATTGTGTCACCTAGCGTGTGTGGCAAATTCACATCACCCTCCGTCCTGAGCCGACATTGTTCACCCATACCCTTCAAGAGTGGATATTAGTCGGACCACTTCCCGCGCTGATCCCGATTGCTAGCGTCCAACATACCCATGGCTGCGCTTATCCGCACGTGGCAAGGAAAGCGTTGGCTGCAGAGCTGCACCGCCGGCTATGATTCTTATTGCCATGTTCAACTAGAATTGCAAAGAGTCCACGACCTGCTTCCGAAACCGCTTGACTCTTGTAGCTTATAGACTATGGTACCAAGGCGTCACTGGCCGCGATGCGAACGGTATACAAAATAAAAGACGAGCAGAGTCTGCATCATGGTGGCAGGATAGCCGTTGGAACGGCTCGATAAGGTTTTGTAATTAAGGCGATATAGAAGAGCAATTATACGTTATAACTATTATGAAGAATGTCGAGATAATGTACTTATTCGCATGCACGCCACGAGGTTCTGCTACGAATAAGTTATTTACCCCTATTTATCCCTGGTACTTTTAGCCGGCGACTTGTACGGATGTGTCTAGCGTGGCCGGCCGGGAGCAGGTCCGTTCCGACCAGCGGCATATAAGTGGAGAACTCCACCGAGCTAACCCCGTGGGCCGTGAGGGTCTTCCCGGAACGTCGGCGTTCGCGGACAGCACTGGAAGGTTGCGTACCTACGGAGTAGACAGTGGTGAATTTTGTGGGCATGAAGTCTGGTGAAATAGGGAGAATCAATTGATGCCCTGGCGGATGAGAAGTACCAGGGTCTACCCGCTTCCTCGAGGGTTACCAAAGTTGACTGCATGTACCAAAGGACGGCGATGTTGGACCAACAGGTCACAGCACCACAATAGCAGTACTGTCACTGCTTAATAGGTTGAATAAAATCCAAACAGGACAGCTCGCCAACCGTAATCGTAATGGCACGCTCTGCAAGAGAGGGCGTATTGCCGACGAACCCGGGTGGTGGTAGTGGCGTGCTCCGAATGGTAATCCGTGATGCTCTCGGCGACGACGCGCACTGGCGCGACCATGGGCACAAAAGGTTCGTTTCTCGGCCAGACCATGGAAGCGGGAGAATTTTCCAGCGTCGAATGATCCTGAGAGAGGCTGAAGTTGCGGTAGAGGTCTGATATTTAAGCTTGGACGGCTGAACGATAGGTGGCAGCCCTTGAGCAACAAGGCGATGGGATGCATCTGTCTTGTCTTCCTCCCATCCAGGTCAAGATGAGACTGGTACAGCCCGATTTCACCCTCAAGCACGTCACCAAGGATTGATTTTCAACACAAGGAACTGGCCCATGACAGCTCGGGAGCACGTCTTGAGACGTCGCCTCGTGTTTGCCACTCATGAGGCGCAGAGCGCAGAAGAGGCCCCGAGATGCCACTGCGAAGCTCATCACGGAGATATCGAGCGGGCGCCCGGGACTGGGCCGAAGATGTCGGAGAAGGTGGGCGATGCAGCGTCGCCGGCTGCAACTGGGGGCCAGCACAAGGACCCAAAGAGTTGGGGTCTGCAAGTCGAGTATTTTTGGAGCTCCTTAGGCATGTCTCTGATGTGTCGCACCGGTCGGGGAACGGGTTGCCACACAATGCCCATTGTTCAAGAGGTGATCCGTGTGCAAACGGGTGCTCCTCGCTTGTCCAGTCCGAGTCAAGGAGCAACTCAATCTTGCCCATCTTCTTCATTGGACTGTAGAGGCGGATGAGACGGCGCAGTGCCCCATGATGCTCTGGATTCATTCGATCCGAAGCCCATGGCACCGTCCACGGATGCGTGGCCCGGTGATGGCTGCCACCATTTGCCACCAGCGACCTGTTGGTCACGTCCATGTCGGCTTTGTTCCTCCTAGGAGATGCTGCCGTGCGACTCGTTTGGTGTGCCAGTCCATGACCGTGGCCCTTGCTGTTGCCTGCCGATCTGGCCGCCGCCACCGCGATGCGCACTCACGCCGTGACACTCGCGTCAGTCAGATGACACAGGGAGGCTCATGCTTGTGCCGTGGTTGAATATTGCAAGAGCCCTAGTCGCCTCGTGGGTTGAATTGCTACAAAAACCGACATCTGGACAGACCATCTCTTTCTGTTGAGAGCTTCTGCACGGTGCCGGTCAGCCCTTGACGTCGAAAATCACGCCGGCACAAGCTTGCAGACGGGCATGTTTCACAGGGACGAGGGAAAATAACGCAGGGTGATGTGCCAATAAAACACAGCGGACGGTTCGCCGCCATATTTGCCTGCCCGCCGCCGGTTAGCATTCTCGCTGCCTGGCAAGTCGACCGCAAGAGACGAGCCACCAATCAAGACGCGGCAACCGACGCCAACATGATGATGGCTCGGCGTCTCGGTGGTCCAAAGGGGGCACAACCATCTGGTTCCCAAGCCTTGTCCCACCTGTAGTAATGTATACATACATACTTGACATGAGTCGGAGCGTCCAAACAATGACTGATTGTATAAGTCAGCCCCCGCGGGATGACAGGTGACGGCAGTCCTCTTCCTAACAATGGGGGGATGAGACTGGCTCTTCGTCGCCCTGCAGCGAAGAGTGTATTATTGGTTCAATCGACCTTTTTTCCCCTTCTTGTCGGCGGTGCGACCATACTCTGCGTCCCTGACAATGGAAAAGGGTCCCCGTCTTCCCCCACCACGGGCATTATTGTTCCAGGTGCAAGCACTGAGGTGGCTTGGCTCAATGCCGACCGAGACGGTGCCGGGGCCATCGGGCGATCCCTCCAGGAATCAATAGCACGTTGACGGCCGGGGACGTGTCAAATTGGAGTCAAGTCATCGAGGGTTGCCGAGTTTGGCGCCGGACTCGTTCATCCATTCTCGTGGTTCTCATCGTCTGGCCTCGAGCTGTCCCTGTGCCCGCGCTTTCCGCGGTTTGCCGCCGGCCCTTTATACTTTGTCCATGTTGGCGATGCGAGCTGAGATTGGGTCCATCGCTTACAGGCTGGTACGGAATACGGTCCGGGAGACGGTCGACCCGGCCAGGCATTCACCAATTGGGCTGGGCCTCTGCTCCTCACACATATGCAATTGACACTGGATGCGCCTATTCTTGGCCATGGTCAGCGTCGTCACCGAGCGGGCCGCCACGCTGAATATCCGCGCATGAGCATCAATTGACTGAAGCCACCACCGCGTCTGATGTCGCCCTCACAAACCACTCCCCGGCCGGCAGCGCGCCACGCTTCCTGCCTCTCACCCAGACTGCCATTGTCGTCAGCACCAGACGCTTCACTCTCGGCCCAACGGTCTGGCCATGTCAGCCAAGCCAGTCGACCTGTCAGCTCGCACCCGCCGGCGCCAATCACGCGTCGGGGCGGCAGCGCTGAGCGGCCCTCTCGAGTCTCGAGGCGGCGATACACAACAATGCAAATGCGCCTCTGGCCCTGTCGTCTGACGTCCAGATCCAGCAGAGTCGATACGGCCCTCGATGCTATTTAACCGCATGGCACCCTCGCCGCCGCCCCTCTTTTTCCCCACGTATTGACCTTGACATCCGTCATGTCACCGTCGTAGCCGCCCGCGCTGCTGGTTCCCGTCGTCGCCGCCAATCCCCAGCATGGCGAGCTTGGTTCCCAATGTCTGGGCCGCCATCCTCATCCCCGTGCCCGCCTCCGTCCTGGCCCTCATCCTGCGTCTCAAGGCCAGGCGGATGACGCGCATGGGCATGGGCCGCGACGATTGCTTCGCCGTCGCCGCCCTGGTAAGTCGACCCTCGACCGCTTCCGGCCATGCATGCTCATTGCTCACCCTGGCATCCCCAGATCTTTGCCCTGGGCTACACGGCCGACCTCATTGTGTGTAAGTGTCTGCATCGAATGAAACGTCCTGCTGTCACGCTCGTCGCCATGCTCACACCAGCCCAGGGGCAACGTGCTTCAAGCTCGGCCAGCCCATCGGCTCCTATAGCCAAGACTTGATCGACTACTACACGGAAAAGTCGACCCTGATCCTGTGGACGAGCGAGTTCTTGTACTCGTGGGCCATCTTCTGCGCCAAGATAGCCGTCCTGTGCTTCTTCCTCCGCGTCTTCCGATTCGCTTCCATCCGCATTCCCATCATGATTCTCATCACCTTGTGCTCCATCTGGATCACGATACGCAGCTTCTTCACTCTTTTACGCTGCAGGCCTGTCCAGGCATTCTGGGTGCAGGATATCCCAGACGCCACGTGTTTCACCAATGTGCGTGCCTACTACCTCGCTACCGATGTCACCCACTCCTCGATGGATTTCATCATCCTGGCTCTCCCCATATACGAAGTCTCGAGAATGAAGCTCCCGTTTGGCCAAAAGATTGCCGTCGTCGGCCTCTTTGCCACCGGGTCTCTGTACGTCTCTTGCGGCCGTGCTTTTGCCTCATCAGCCAGCCCCCCCGCAACTTGCTCATCTGTGCCGTTTTAGGGTCGGAATTGCGTCCATTTTCCAAATCGTCGAATCTCAGAATTACGATCCCCACGAGCTGCCCTATGACCTGGCCCTGTGCATGGTTTGGGGAGGTGTCGAGCTCCATCTGGCCGTCTTTATAGGTACGTGGGAAGAAACACCGCCATATTTGCAGCCCGGCAGCGCTCTACTCACCAGACTCAAGGTTCTCTCATTTTGCTGCGACCGATATTTAGCAGATTCGTTCCTGGCCTCGCCTCTCGGTCAGCGAGCAAGGCTGCCAGCCGCCCGACTCGCTCGAGTAATGCCTTTCAGCCGGGGGAGAGTTCCAGACGCCCTAGCAGTCTGCCAGACGACGCTGAGCTGGGCATGGAGGCTGTAGATCCAACCATGACCATCAGACGGGGTAGCTCACTAGCGCTCAAGGGACACAGCTCTAGCTTGACGCCGATTTGTATCCATCATGAGGAATGTGACGCCGAGACTTTACCGGGTCAAGATGATTCAGGACACTCGCAAAGTACTGCTGTGTGAAGTGGCGTGTGCTTTCATGTTGCGATACTGGATTCCGAATCTTGTTCAGCACTCTATCCCGCCAGTACGATGGCCGAGGAAAAGATGGACTTCGACGGGCCCGTTCCGTTGTCCGGAGTAGTTCCTTGGTTGTGGCTATTCAAGCCCTATCCGTGCTACAGACGGCAGCATCCCCATGAGATACCCCGATAATACTAGCAGATGAGAAGCTGCTATGACACTCCGAGTCCCAGATGATGGTCGGCCTGTTGTCGAATATGGCACCCTTTCCTCTGTCTTTCGCTAGTTCCGGAAACCCCGGCTATCTAGTTAGGGTTGGGTAGGGGCCAGGATTATCATCATCTAAAGGGAAGGATAAGGGAATAGATGCGTACCAATAATAATAGCTAATGCAGCTAGAAACTCTATATACAGGGTAAATCTGGCATAATAGCTGCCCCGTGGCTTATATTTATGGGCCTGAATATAATAGACGAAACAGAGCGTTGCCAATAATTGCAATGCCTTGTAACATATAATACATTAAAAAATGTATATAACTTACCAAAAGGTAATCTAAACGTCTTACTGAAAATTATAATAAATAAAATATAACTATTGCTCTACCAAAACTTGCCAGAGAGTTACTCTTAGCCGTTGGAACGTGAGCCCTTGTTCCCTGCTAGCCTATTTGGTTTTTAACGAACAGGGAGTAGCTGCACCGGGGCCCTCGCGAGTGCCGGCACAAACCCGACCGAAAGTACTATACAGGCAAAGGGGTACGAATCAAATAAGTCGCTTACGACTTTGTTAATAGATTCTATGCAGCTAATTTCAACAAGCGAGGATAGGCGCTAGTCCGGACTATTATATTAACTATGTAAATAAGAGACCAAGGTATTTTCCATGGATCTGTATTATACTTCTATTACCGTAGATGATCCACGCGAAGAAGATAGCCATAAATTTTATACTTCTGATAATTTAAACAAAGCTTTTTGCCGCATATATCTATGGTAATTAAATTAAAATAAGCAGTAAGTATATAAAGTCTCCCATATTCTAATCTTATAAAATCAATATGTAGAACCATGCTATATCTATCCTAGTTATAAGGCACCCTATCGCGTACTAGTAATATTTCACTTCATCTTTATCCCCGTCTTATAGTTCAATATACTTATTTCAGACCAGATTATACCATGATTTCCTTGTTTGACCTTTTTTAAATACCACTTGTAGATCACCGCCGCAGTCTGCCCTGGGGAAATTGCCGCATTCTCACTTGATCTTGGCATGCCAGATCCGGACCTCCAGATGGCACTCGTGGAAAGGCGGCCACTTGTCTTGAGTAGACACATCCATGGTGAGGGTGTTGGTAGTGCTCAGTGACTTGGACCATTCATAGGAGATGCTGCCGCCCAGGCTAATAGACGCGTTAACGGCAACATTTACACCAATACTCCAGCCCTCGCTAAGGGTCGTGGATGGCGCTTGACTCTTGGCGACATTGATGGGCTTTTTCTAAGTGCCAGTGGTGACGCCCCTGAACGGAATCTTGTCCATTTCGACCTACGCAGTGGCTTCAGATAACCCGTCCAATTCATTTCAAACTTGGTAGAAGACAGTCGCGCAGTTGAGATGAAAAGAATACCCGCGGACGACCTTTTTCAGCGTGCGAATCGACCTTGTAAGGGTCAATTATGAGCTTTCCTCGGTTATTTTATTATTCTACACATCAAATTCTTTAGTTTTATTTATTTCCCGCTCCAAGTTGGTTTGCCCGTAGGCAGTCGTTGCCAGTAGAAGGGGCCCAAGTGCGAGAGGAACTTCATCTTGAAGGAGGGACAAGAGGTAAAAATGTAGGGAGGAGGTGGCTGAGAATAAGTTACATTAGCTCTTGAGAAACACCTGCATCGAGGCACAATACTAATATATACACACATTCAGTCCAGAGATTCTAGACTATATCAGCGTATTGAGATTTATATTACACGCAGCCTGATATAAATTGTGTGGGTCTATACTCTCTATCAGACGGTTTCTGACATTATGCCGCGAGTCTGGAGTAATGGCTTCGGGCATTTCATCAGCGACCCGTACAAACAGGGTCCGTTTGTTTGGAATATCTATTGGGAGCTGCATGCATGTCTCAAGCCCCGTCTCATCTCTACTCTGCACTCATGAAGAAGTTTGGGTCGATTTATCGAGAATTGAATGCAATGCCAACTCATTTTATTTCTACACTTTATCACTCTTACTCTTCCATGTATGGCTTTTACTAATTTTGGTTACTTGAGCATGTGTCGTTGAAATGCTGGGTTCTACGTTGAGCCTCGCCACTCGATCAATATGACAAGGGCTCAATAGAGGGCTTGGAGCAATAGTTCAATTCATCTAATAAAAGTCTTTGGAATCAAAGGTCCTTGATTTTCCCCAAGGCCTCGTTGACAAAGGGGTCTTTAAATAGAAGAAGTCGGTGAGGGACTTTGCCCAAGGTCTCGTGACCGTAGCCCTTGTGTAACCTTTGACATTGGGCCATTTCCGTGTCACAACCAAGCTACTTGATACGTCCAAACGCGGAGGGAATGCAGTGGTATTAAGATGTTACACTGTGAACAAGCCCCAGCAAGTTTTAGTTCCGTGTTTTTAAAGTCTCCCGTTCAACTACGGAAATAGATTCAAGAAAAATTAAAACTGCAGAATCCAAGCTTGTGTTGATAGCAGTAGGCAAGCAAGTAGCCTCGTCGGCTCACAAGTATATCAATCGCAAGCAAAAGAAGCCAGAATTCGCATCTGAGACAGGCATGTCTTAGCGCCCGCGATGCACATCCTCCTTGTCGCCGCCGCCGTCCCGTTCTACTTTGAATACAGGGCTTGTCTCTACGTTCCATTCAAGCTGCATAGCCGCCGTGCCAGCAAATCAGTTCCACGTCACCCGGATGCCGAGACAAGAGCAGGGCGACCGGGCTCGGAACAGACGCTCTATTCAGACTGTAATAATCGACTTTGGGCCATTAAAGGTCCTTGGTTTTCCACGAGGCCTTGAGGGGCGGAAGGCCCCTGTAGATACAAGAAGTCGGTGAGGGCTTGTGCCTGAGGCAGCCCTCGCTTTTGACCGACTTCGGGCCTCGTGACCGCTACCTTTGTTGTTGTGTAACCGTTGTTGGCCCAACGCCCTTTGTTGTGTGCCAACCGTGTAACAGGTACAGTCTTGCCGTTGGGGGTTTCGGGAAGTCGCGAATCGGGGTACCCCAAAAGAAAAAAAAGCCCCGGCATACAAAGACCTTTTGTTGAGTTGAATAAAGGAAGATGTGAATGGGCATGTGAAAAGGCCGAAATTGGGTGCATGAAACGATATTGATCCTTTGTCTGAATACCGCACGGCCCATGATGACTCATATCAACATTGGAACGTGCAATGGATATGACGGAACAGGGCGTCCGTACTCCTTGCTCAATAGCCTGGCCTCTTTGTTCTGGGTCCCGCCGGGGGGGGGGCGCTTGATAATATGCCAGTGCGATCAGTTCATAGCTAAACTTCTTGCCCCGAGAAACAGGACTCCCTACTCGTAAGCTAGTGTCCGACTTCCTGCAATTAAACATCAATGATCTGACTTGGGCAATTTGAGCGAAAGTTCAACCAGACCAGGTACCCGGCTGTCCGTACTATACAATAATCTACCATGGTATATTAGTGAATACATGTGAACACGCACATCAATAACGCTCTAGGCTGTATATAAAGTTGTCTCCGGTAGAAACGGCAATTCGCCTCCACTCATTTATTCTTCCTCGGCCGCCCTCGTTTCCTGGGTACATTTGAGGTTTCTGTTGCTATATCCCTGCTTTTCTTAGGCCCAGCGGGGGCGGTTGTCCTCTCGGGTTTCGTCTGCGCCGCGGGACGTATGTTTGACCCGTTCTTCTTTCTCGGACGACCCGGCCCTCGCTTCACTCCGGCCTCGATACTTTTCCCCTTTGCAGCGGGCCGTCCCGGACCGGGTGTTGCCTTGGCGCGGCGAGTCTCTCTTGGAACGGGCTGGGCGGCTAGTGTTGCCGGTTTTGGTGCCACTGCAACCTTGGATCTTTTGTTCGGCACCGTTTGCATCGGCGAGGACTCTGCGGGTCGTTTCTTGGCCGCGATCCTGGCACTACGGCGTGGCAGTGGTGGGAGAGATTCGCCCTGCTCTTGGGCTTCGTGTCCTTGGTCTCGCGGTTGGCGCGGGCGTAGGCCTCGCGTTCCTTGGGATGGAGGCGAAGCAGCATCTTCCTGTAGCTGAGGTACCTCTTCGTCCTCAGCTGGCGGCGGCTCATGGAACGTGTGCAAACGCCCGTGTTTCTTGAGAAAAAATTCAGCGGCGGGGTGCAGCCGTGGTATATGCCCCTCGGCTATCATCCTCGCCCGGAGCGCCTGTCTCTCTTTTCCGGCTTGTTCATTTTCTGCCCGACGGTCGACCAGCATTCCAGGAAAGTAATACCCAGAGTAGTCATACCTTTTGATCCCCCAGAAACCTTGCTGTTCGGATTCTGGGAGGTTTATAGTCTCTAGCTCATCAATCTCAGAGGGAGTAAAGTCCATTTCGGCCGACACGTCTAGCGGGTCTTCCTTCATCGGGTTGAGGGGTGCCAGATCTTCGGGCTCTGGGGAGGGAGACTCGTGCCGCCACTTCCAGGCCGTGACGCAGTTGCCCTTGTCGAACTCGTCTCGCCAGTCCCCCCGTTCTTTCCACCACTTGATCACTTGTTCCCGGGCCGAGTACGAGTAGCGGCCATGGCCCTCATTGGAGAGGCGCTGGAATCTGTGAGATTCCTCGGCCACCTCGAGCTGAAAGATGAACCAGGGCCGAGAGATGAGGAAAGCCTCTGCTTCGGCGGCAGTAGTGTCTTGTCCAGGGCAGGACCGGGGAACCACGGGGGCATACTCACCACGCGCTAGGTTTTGGCGAAGACGCACAGCGCGTGCAGCGAGCTCGTATTGATAACTGCTCCCGGAGCCAAGGCCGTTCACTGGTGTCGCGGGCTCCCACCACCACTTCCAGTCATCCCACTCGTCGCGAGGCTGGACCTGACGGCCGGCAAACCCCCAGTCTGGATTCCAGACGCCGAGCTTCTCCCAGCGACGTTTGACGTTATGACGAACAACAACACCCATGCGCCGATGGAAATTCCGTGTTCTAAACTCTTCGGGCAACGGCCACCTGGGAATATTTTCTTCAAACCGTCTCCGCTCAAATTTGGATTCCGAGTAATAAGAATCATGAGGACGTAAGCGCTGCTCCACAGAGCTAGCAATTAGTTCGGCTTCGAAGTCGTTGATGGGGCGCTCCATGACGGCCTGTAGCTCCGTTGGAATCTGTAGACACAGTGGTGGTACCATGAAATCTGCCTCGTGATCCGACGACTCGGTCGACGAGACGTAGGGCGGGGGGTCATCGCGCTCAAAGCGGCGCAGGTGTCGCAAGTTGTCGTTTGAAGCGATTGCCTCGAGACGAGGCATGGCCTGGTCGCTCACGGCCTGATTGAAATGGACCGGGTCGAAAAAGGGAGGCATGCTGTGGTTTGGCGGAAGGGTTGGGAGAGGCAAATGAGCAGTGCTGTTTCACGCCGTGAAGTTGGATGGGGGGATGAGCCAAGGACCACCAGACATATGTAATGTCAGTCAGGTCTGGTTGACCTGAAAGAGACATGGATTGATGCCTCATCAGCGCGCGCGAGTGTGCGGTGTCGCCCCAGCAGGTGGACAGCCAATCAGGAGGCGGGCAACCGGCCAGGCAGCACCGTTGACCACCTGCACGAGCCATAACGGGCGCATCGCGGGCGGGTAGCGAATCGACCAGTTGACAGCAAACGCCATGCAGCCGTCGCCGAATCAAATTGGCTGGCGTGGCAGTGCCTGCAATAACATCTCACCGGGAATATCTTGCCCTCCAAATGTTGGCCAACCGCCGGCGACGCCTTGGTGCTTCCACCAATGCCATAGCCCCAACGATTGATTGGCTCAGACGATGTGCTACGTGCGTGTCAACTGGTCGTCAATAGAAAAGGGCTCATCAGGCTGCCTTGGCTCGTCTTGAGCCCTTCAATGTTGCCCTTTCTCTTCTCCTCTCGCCGCGTCGTCCTCTAAGCACTCGACCCTCTTTGTCCTCTTCTCGCCATGGATCTGAGCCTTCCCGATCAGGCTCCCCACCGTAAAACACTCTTTCATCTCGTACCATCCAACCGACTGGCCGAGGAAGCCCTCGCTCACCCTGACAATGAACGTTTTGTATCGAGGGCTCGAAACGGACGTTATGGTCTTGAAGTCGGCTATCATGTCTCGTCCCTCCCTCGCGGTCATGTTATTACCAGGCTAGGCCGAAATGCCGATTTGATTCTTAGGAAAACCACCCCCGAAAACCCCATGTCTACTGTTCACGTCGCCTTTGAGATTAACCCCTCTACACGGCTTATTGTTCTCTCGGTCAGATCGAAACGCCCTTCAACGGTTTATTTCTCCATTCAAACCAGCACCGCAGAGGATGACGGCCAGGGCGGTCCGGGAACAGGCATGTCGGTTCAACAAGAGCTCCAAGGAGCCACCATTGCTCGAGAACAAATTACCGGGCAAGGCGTTATCCTCTTTGGTCAGGCTTACTCCATCTTCATTGCCAACTATACCTTTCGCTTGATCTGGCAGCGGGGCAACAGCCACAAAGACGTCGAGTTTCTAAAAGCCTTGGCCTTTCAAGGTTACCAAGAATCGGTCCACCGGATGCAGTATATAGGATCTCGCGAGCGGCCGACAGAGTATGACCCCTCGGAATTAATCTCATGGCATATGACTAGGCTCAACACGGTCAAGGGGACTTATTTCAGCGATGTCCCGGACCTTCGTACAGAAATAGGCTCGGGGGCCTTTGGAACAGTCTATGCAGCAACTGATCAGGTATCAGGCTATGAATTTGCAATTAAAGTGATTCATCTCCAAGACCACCCCAATCCCGAGGAAGCACGAGCCTTGGTGCACAGGGAAATTAAGATCCTGCAGAGATTGAGCCATGTCAGTGACATCGACCCCCCCATCGTCTCGGTTATGCTGACAAAACGCCAAGAAACATATTATCGAATATCTAGACTACAATCACTTCCACACTCTCAACCCCGAGATCTTGATGCCCTTGAGAGAAGGGTCCTTGAAATCGCTCATCAAGGAAAAAAAAGTTGACGTCAACGAACATTTATTCTTAGACGTGGTAACCCAGATGCTCAGCGCCCTGGATTACCTGGCGAGTGAGAGCCTGGTCCACCGGGACGTGAAGCCTGAGAACATTCTCTACTACCCCTCGGGCAAAATCGCTCGCTGTGGTTACCATTTTCAGCTGGCTGACTTTGGATTCGCTCATCACCATGATCTGGCTACAAGCAAATGCGGCACAGGCTTTTATCGGGCCCCTGAGATGGTGCCTGAAAAGAGCAAAGTGGATGCGCCGCAGAGCCACAAGATGGACGTATGGTCCCTCTTTGCTACCATGGTTGCCGTCGATTCCACGTTTGAGAGCTTTCCAATCCATACCTCTGACTATGGCATTGTTCTAGAGGCATTGCTGGCGAAAGCCCGAGAATCCCTATTATACGCGCACATGGGGAGGCTGCATCCAGATCGCCGGGCCTCAGCTGCCCAGATCCTTAGCGTACATTTTGCAGGCTGGGGATTAACAACACCGCAATCGAGAATCACCCCGATAGAGCCCGAGCTAGAGCTACAAGAGGCTACATGTACTCCTCAAACCCTGTTGCCGACTGCCGGGCCTAGTGCACCCCGCGGAATGGACAGTGACCACGAGATGGAGGATGTCCACGAGATGAAGAATAACCACGAGAAACCTCGCCAGAAGGCAGCGGCCCCCCTCGGTCGCTTAATTACATATCCGCCGTCCCACAAGCAGCGTGATACACTGGCACGGGTGAACAAAAATGGCGTTGGGAAGCGCCGGGCGAGACGGAGCGCCCGCCCCAGCCCGCGACAACAAAAATTGCCTGTTCGGGATAAACCAGAAAAAGGTAGTCCGCTTAGATAACTAAATAAGGCTAAAAGGTGTATATAAAGCTTGTATTATAGGATATTTTTAAATTAATATAAGAAAAAAAAGTTTAATAATAAATATATAAAATATATAAAAATATATAAAAATATATAAAAATATATAAAAATATATAAAAATATATAAAAATATATAAAAATATATAAAAATATATAAAAATATTTTATTTTATTAATTATTAATAACTTTTAATATTAATTATATTAAAATATTATTAAGTAAATTTTTTATTTAATAAAATTTTTATTAAAATTTTAAAATTTAAATAAAAAATATTATTATTTTATTTTATATTTTACTTTAAATTTATTAAATTTAAAAAAACCTTTTTTATTAAATAAATAAAATCTTTAATATATAGAATTTATTTATTTTATAATAGTTCTACTATATATAAGAGCTATAATTTATGCGGTCCCTTATTAAGAGCCGACAGCACAAGGGAAATATTAGCATAGCCAAGTTATTTAGAGAGTCCCATGCATTTCTAATCTCGCGGCAGGAAAAGTCAACTTGAGCGACTAGAGGAGCCCCGGCAAGTTGAACTACCTTTTGGCGTAAGGACCGTTTGCGTCAATCATGTCCGCCGAGCGGCCGGTTCATGACGTCGTTGATCTTGACTAATTCCTGCCATGTGGTTCCTTTTAGCTTCCATCGCCCTGCACCTCAATCCGCGGCGGGTTGAGCAACAGTTACAAGCAGGAACTGTCACTCAAAGACATAGACTGCATTATGATTCATCAGGTAAGTAGTATAGAGCGGTAGGCGAAATTTCGCGATTGCCCGCGGTGAGCCAAGCCGTGGGCTAGTTGGTGCCATGGCCGGCTGTCGTGGGTTTTGAGCACCATGACTAAAGATGCTGCTGTGCAAAGCCTTTGTGGATGTAATAAATACGCAGACTATTGGTGGGAAAACTGAACAAGACGAATAAACGTCCTGCTTGCCGATTGTCAACTATACATACGTTGTCCGACCCTCTGCCGCAGCAAGCTGTTCCTAGTCCTCCAGCCTAGGCAAAAAAAGAAGGACAGTAACCATTGCGTCGAGTTCCGATCAGGTCTTTCACAACTTCAACATGCAGCAAGTTCATTCCTCGCCCCAGTCGGACGAGTGTGCTCAACTGAGCCTCCCTGTCGCCGGTCTCGAGGGTTTGACGCTGTACGAGAAGAAATGTCGCCTGGTCAACCGAGAAATCGATCGTCAGGGCATGGGCCGATACCAGTGGTACATCTGGATCCTGTGCGGGCTGGGCTACTTTCTCGATCTTCTCTGGGCCCAGGCGTTTGGCCTGGTCCTCAGTCCCGTACAGCAAGAGATGGGCTTTCGAGACAGTCAGTCAGGAAACATTTCGACGAGCTTCAACGCCGGCCTAACAGCGGGCGCCATATTCTGGGGCTTGATTTCAGATATTGTCGGTCAGTACCTTTATACTATCGAGTCAAGTGTCTAACCGTCCGTTGTCCGTTCGAGCACGCTGGCCTAACAGTCGACAGTTCAGGTCGCCGCTGGGCATTCAATCTGACCTGCCTCCTCTCATGCACCTTCGGCCTGTGTCTCGGCTTCTCAAACGATTACAAAAATTTGCTTGTCATCACTGCCTTTGTTGGCTTCGGAGTCGGCGGGAATATCCCCGTCGACAGTGCCATCTTTCTTGAATTTGTTCCACAAGTGAGTATCCGCCATCGGCGGCGAAGCCACACGTTGCTAACTTTGCATTGAGAACCGCCGCTTCCTGCTTGCGTGCTTGTCCGTCTTTCAGCCTCTGGGAGTGGTCGTGTGCAGCGCCATTGCTTTTGGCTTCATCCCGGTCTATGCGTGCTCTCCAAACTTTTCCGAGAAGAATCCTCTGCAATCGTGCCGTACCGCTGCTCCAGGGGCTGCTTGCTGCTCGCGTTCCGACAATATGGGCTGGCGTTACTTTCTGTATACGCTAGGTGCCATATCGTTTGTGGTCTTCTTTTTACGATTTGCCGTCTTTACGTTTCGAGAAACCCCCAAGTATCTCCTATACAAGGGAGAAGATGCCAAGGCCATAGCGACAATGCAGCACATAGCCAAGGTAGATAGACAGCGGTGTTTCTTAACCATTGAGGACTTTCAAGCCCTCGAACCAAACGGCTGCAGTGAAGAGGTAACATCGTCCGACTTATTGATCCCTGGCCAAAAGGGTGTTTCGTTGGTGAGAGAGAGCTCTATCAAGTTTCGCCGATGGCTGGAGAGATACAAGATGCTGTTTGATGGCTTTCAGATGACGCGACTTACCATCCTGGTATGGCTCACTTACATTATGGACTTTTGGGGATTCACAGTTGCTGGTAGGTTTGCTCTTCAACACCCTGGTGGTGGCGGAAACTTGTTTACACATTACCAGGCTTCTATCTTCCCCGAATCTTGGCTCTCAAAAATGGCGCCGCATCCGCCAGCCTTGCATTCACCTATGCCGCATACATCTACACCTATGCTCCGGGTATCATTGGCGTCCTACTAGGAGCTTTTGTCTGCCGTGTTCCCGCAATCGGGCGCAAGTGGACAATGGTCGTGTCTTCGGGTCTCATGGGCGCATCCATCCTGCTCCTCTCCAAAGCCGACACAATAGCGAAAAATGAGGGTCTTTTCGCCCTCCAGTACTTCTTTCAGTCCATGTTTAATGCCGTCTTGTATGGATGGACGCCCGAGGCATTCCCTGCGCCTGTGAGAGGAACGGCATGCGGAGTGGCCAGTTTCTGGGGTCGGCTGTTTGGTATTATTAGCCCCCTGATTGCGCAGCACTTGTATGGGAGAACGACGGGGCATGACGGCAATGGAGATATTAACAGCGTGCTTTATTTGGCCGGGGGCGTGTCGTTGGGGTGCGTGTTGACTACGGCGATGTTGCCATCCAAACTGATGGAGGCCCGAGATGAACGCTCGTGAGCGATGACGGGTAATCTGTTTGACGAACCGCGAGTCGGGATATGGCTTCTGTACCCAAGAGCACTCAATGGTTATTGTAAGCTGTCACGCATCATGGTGGAATCAAGACCAAGATAAACACAGATGCTCAGTAGAGCTACTTTCAAAACCGAAGCTGTCAACTTGCGTATTGGGGCCGAAATCTTGATCCGGCTAAGCATTTTATTGTAGTATCAAATTCATTTTAGGTGAATCGGCTCTTGTCGCACAGGGTTGGTTACACGAGGGCTATGATCACGGGACCTAGGGCAGAAACCTCACCGACTTGTTGTATTTCAAAAAGCTCCTTGGTCAGCTGGGCCTTGGGGGGAAACCAACATGAAGGACTTTTGATATCAAAGACTGTTGTTAGATGAATCGAGTCATGATGCTCCAAGCCTTTCGCCCTTGTCACACATTCTGCTACGAGCAAGAGCGTCGAGAAAGATTGGTGTATGGTCGTGAGTATCCTTGACCCCTGGAATATCCATCTCAGTCTGCAGCCCTGCTGTCGCATCGAGACAAGGCCAAAATACTACACGCCAAGCTGATAGAGGAGCAGTGACAGCTTGAAGGCTGCAGAGGCTCAAGCCATGCCGAGGGTTGCGTCCCGTGGATCGTCGTCAGCCACTGTCGAAAGCGTCCACAATGACGTACTCCGGGGACATCAACCAGCCCATCCAATTCCGGTCGCGCTGCATTTTATTTCGACATCAGACGATTTGCTGTGACAGAGTAATCCAGACGTTTCGCAGTCTTTGACACTCTACCGCGCGCCACCATCTCGCTATTAGTCCATTCCCTCGCGGCCGTCGCCCAACAAACGTAGACGCTGCCATGCCTCTATCGGCGAAACAATTTCACAAGCCCAAATCGCCATCTGGTTTCCCCTCTGGCGAGTTCATTCCACGATTCACGCCGTCGCAAGGCGCCCTCATTTGCGGCGGATGCGTAGTCATTGACCCTACACTACGCAAGGTTGCCTTGATTCACGACCCGTCCACCGGCATCAACCAGCTTCCAAAAGGTCGAAAGAACATTGGCGAGGACGTCCACGCCGCCGCGCTGCGAGAGACGCGCGAAGAAACAGGCTTGCACGTCATTCCTCTCCCCCTAAAGGGCCTGACCCGCGCAACGCCAACGGCGCAAATGCTCGGCGAACCTGTCAATGACGAGGCATTCGCAGCGGATTCTGCTGGAGAAGGCGAAGACGACCACGATGTCTGGGAAGACGTAGATGAGGAGGGGACCAGCACGGAACGTGCTAGCGGTCTGACTGGTTGGGCACACCATTGCGAACCTATAGGTATTACGACATATCGGTGTGAGATGACTCTCGCGTTCAAGGTGATTTTCTGGTATGCCGCACAAGCCGATTCATTGCAGGATCCCAGACAGGATGCAAAGGAGCCCTGGGAGCAGCAGTATGAGCTGAAGTGGGTGAGTGCACAGGAAGCCCCGACACACATGACGTTTGAGGCGGACGGCCAAGCCATTGAAAAGGCACTGGCAGATATGCGCCGCTCTGGATATCAAATTTAGCACGTGTGCCGGCCACATGGTGGTGGTTACAACTTGCGGCCTTGACACACAATCCCGGCGCCCGTGTCGGGTCAGTCCCGAGTCCCGGCTTTCGCAAGTCCACATGCATCGGAGACGGAGCAAAACCCCAATGTCCAGGCACCAGTGGAACAACTAGCCTCGGGCCCCATTGGCAGTTGACAGTCCATGTCACGGTGTCAGTCGTGGCCGAAAGGGGAAATCCTTTCGAAGACGTGCATTGCCGACCGGGGCCGGGCGTGCCTCGGCAGTGGGCACCGACGGATCGCATCAATTGTCCGAGACGCATCTTGGCCCCATCGTTTCACGGACTCTGTCAACGACCCGTCCGCGGTGTCTTGAGAGTTGTGCCGGGTCCTTTCCGACGCTGTGGGCCAGCCGGGCTTGATAAGAGACGTACAGAGCCCGCACGCGACCATGACTCTACAATCGCCTCCATCGTGACCATTCTACGACTCGTGTCCGGGCACAAAGACGATACAGCA